AGCCTTGAGCAACCTGCTCTGGTGGGAGGTGTCCTTGCCCAGGGCAGGGGGTTGGGGCTGGATGATCTCTAAGCTCCATCCCAACCCCTCAGCATTCTAGGACACCATGAAAACTTCCGAAAACCCCCATCAGAGCTTCACTCCCAGCACCCTCCCAACTCCTGTGCCCCCAGTGTGTCCCACACCCATCTCACCGGGACGAAGAGGACACATCCCACCAGTGTCCCTGTCAGCGCTGACTTGACGATCTCAGCGTAGCACTTGTTGCCCTCCCGTGAGCCCTTGATGAGGGCAGTGATGTAGAAGGTGAGTTCTGTGATGGAGCCAAATGTGGCATTCACCACTGCTCCCACTGCAAAGGTGCTCTGGGCTGAAATGCTGGAGGAGGAGGAGGAGGTCAGCAGGGCTGGCAGGTGTCCCCTGTTCTCTATAACACAGGTCCTATGAGGAAGGGCTGAGGGAGTTGGGCTTGGTCAGCCTGGAGAAGAGGCTCAGGGGTGACCTCCTGGCTCTCTGCAACTCCTGCCAGGGCTGGAGAGAGGTGGGGGATTGTCTGTCCTGCCAGGGCTGCAGGGAGAGGATAGAGGGAATGGCCTTGGGCTGAGCCAGGGCAGAGTCAGACTGGATGTTAGGAGAAATGTTTCCCTGTTAGGTGTTCAGGCACTGGGATAGGGAATTGCCCAGGGAGGCGGTGGAGTCACCAGCCCTGGAGGTGTTTGAGAGGTGTCTGGACGTGGCACTGGAAGGTTTAGGGGTTCCAGCAGAGCCAGGTTAAGGACTTGATGACCTTAGAGGCCTCCTCCAACCTTGACAACCCCATGACTAAGTGTCCCCTCAGCACTCACCTGGCGATGGCCATCCCAATGTAGTAGGAGAGAGGCATGATGGAGAGCAAGGCCAAGGTGAACTTGACAGCAGAGCCAGTCAGGTGGTTGTGGCTGTCCACATACCCCAGCACCAGAGTCACCAGCACCAGTGGCAGCAGGTCTGGGGTGGCCAGTCAAGGAGATAACCCAGGTGGGGTGGGATTTGGGGTCAACCCTCCCTTCCCCACTCCATCCCAGAGAAGGATACTGACAGCGAAGACGTTGATCCCATCCACGGCGTACTTGTAGTAGTAGGGGTTGGCAGCACGGTAGCAGCAGAGGATCACCTCCCCCTCCAGTGGCACCTCCGTCTGCAGGGGACAAGGAGGTCACAGTTCTCCCCAAAGCCACCCCAGAGCAGGGAGCCCCGAGACCTGGGAGAGGCACTCACCATCCTGAGGCGCCGGACGAGGAGCTGCCGCGGGGGCAGCAGCAGGACACGGTGGGTGGCACGGGCACTCAGCTTGGCCACGGGGATGAGGACGATGAGGAGCCACGAGGTGACACACACCAGCCCATGGGCCACCAGCAGCACAGGGTAGCCCAGGGACAGCCACAGCACAGTGCTGGCACAGTGCTGGGAACAGGAGAGCTCCTTCAGGTGCTGAGCCTCAGGGGGTGGAGATGCTCAGTGCCATCTTCTGCCCTCCCATCCCAACCCTCTTCCAGCCCTCCTTGCCCTCCCCTCCCATCCTTTCCCCATCTCTCCTTGCCTTGCCATCCCACTCCTTTTCCTGTCCTCACAGCTCTCCCGTCCCAATCCTTTCCCAGCCCTCCCATCCCTTTCCATCCCTCTCTGTCCTCCTAACTCATCCCTTTCCATCCCTCCTTGCCCTCCCCTCCCATCCTTTTTCCATCCCTTCTTGCCTTGCCATCCCATTCATTTTCCTGTCATCCCAGCCCTTCCATCTCATCCCTTTCCATCCCTCTGTGCCCTCCTAACCCACTCCTTTTCCATCCCTCCTTGTCCTACCCTCTTATCCTTTTTCCATCCTTTCTTGCCTTGCCATCCCACTCCTCCTGTCATCCCAGCCCTCCCATCCATTCCCTTTCCCAGCCCTCCCTTCCCATCCCTTTCCCACCCCTCCACATCACACACTCCAGGGCAGCAGAGGCACCCACGGGTTCTCTCCCCACCCCACCGGGTCTCCTGAGGTGCCCATGCCGAGGGAGGGGGTGTCCCTGTGCCCAGTTGAGGCTCACCCAGTATCCAGCAGCTGCCCAGCCCCGTGGGTGCCAGCGCTGGGGCACAGGACCCCCCAGCAGGGCTGAGCTCTCCCCAGCGCCGCCTGCCTCCGCGCCCGCACCG